AGTGTTTCCATCGTAGTGCTCATCTTTTCTTATTGAATAAAAAGTTTGACATCTTGGCATTTCCATCAACTGATTTTTTTTATCTCCAAGATAGGTGGATGGAAACATAGCTACAGAATTAACTACAGTATGTGTTCTGTATTGTATACTGATATCGGTGCAATAAATAAACAGTGTTACTAACAGCAATATTTTTTTCAGTAGTAATCAAATAAATGACCGGTTTGACAATGTCGTTATCGTTACTGACAATAAAAGCTGTGCGTTACTATAATTGAGAACACTGAAGCTGTTTTCATGCGAGCAGCATCTCTCTCAGCCATAGGACCTCTCTTTCTCTAGGGTGGGTGTGTGTGTTCGGGGCTGGGGCGGGACACATAACCAACCAGTGATAATGATTGGTGTGTCTGTAAACGTGGTGTAACTGAGAACGTGATGATTGGCTTAGATAGAGTACATTTCCATTGTGTGGGTGTTCACACACAAGCACACACCAACGACCAGGAGTCAGAATGATGGCAGATCCAACAAGTTCAAAGGTAGCTTTTACAAACTGGAAATATAAGCACTACTTTCCCCTCGTTGAGTTGAAAGGCAAAAATATTTATGTATCTGGCAACTTATATCAAGAAAAAAGAGTCTCTCAAATTCGGTGACATGTAATTCTAATCTAATTTGACAAAGTAGGAGCAACTCAGTAGTTACTTTCCCTGGTAATAAGTTATTTTTATAATTATGCATAACTTACTAACTCAGTTACTATTTGTGAGAAGTAACTAGTAAATCTAACTAATTACTCTTTTAAAGGAGCATAGCCAACACTGATACTAATACAGTGCATACTCTGCATGCCATCAGTCCTCTAGTACGCACCTGTACATACAAACATTCGCCTTTACAATGACCGGTCCCATTGTGTTCAGCAAAAATCTCCCAGTTGCCATGGGTAACAACTGTTTTTTCCCCTTATAATCACCTTTGTCTTGGCTCCCTCATTGGTTCATAAATCTCTGGTAAATAGCCAATGAAGACAGGCCTTATTAAGAGTCCATTGTGATGCGTTTTTAAAGCCCTCTGGGTGTTCTATGAAGTCTCGGGCCATCACCGTCCTGTTCTGCTCTGTCTGACTGAATGTTACACTCCTAGAATACTAACTACGTGCCTGTCAGTGCACCCCAGCTTCTTTCCCCAATCCAACTGGGGCCCCAACAGCCTAGAATATATAAGCACCCCTCAAGAAGTGCTTTTTTTCTTCTTCGTCTTCGGTGCACATAATTAATACAAACATTAAACATGACATGGACAGATTGGAGTAATTATGAACTTATTTTAACTCGAGTTACTTCACCGAATAGCCGTTTTTGGAGGTAATCGCATTAGAAAAGTACTTTATCATGTTCAGTTTGATCGTCATCAAGTACATTCGCTTCGCAGAGTTTTCATTACAGCGCTAATGGCGCTAAATGAGGGGAGTAGCACTGTTTGTTAGCACTCCTCTTGGTGTAAACCAGGGCTTTGTTTGTCCCTGTAGACTCTGATAATAGTGTAAAACGGAGGTGTTTACTCATCTTTTAGGACAACACTGTTTGAGCATCCCATCTGGCCGGTGCACCAAGAGTGAGCACAGGATATTTATGTTAGTCTTGAAGAATGTTCATTAGGCAACAGCTGTGTGTGTGTGAGAGAGAGATAGATATAGAGAGAGAGAGAATGTGAGTGTATATATGTATCTATTTTCAGTGCATTCACACTCAATATCTCTCAATTAAATGTCTTTCATTGATAGCCGTCCCTCTGGAAATCTGAAAGTCTTTAATCCTTCAGCAAACACCATGGTGATGTTTAATCCTTGAAAATATTTTCCTGAGGCTTTTATTCTTGTACAACAGAAACCTCCTCACAACTTGAGTCTCAAAAAAAAACCCAAAAAGCCTGGAGATGTTTCAAGACGTTTTCAGATTTATTATTAAGTCTTGTGTGCTACACACAATTTACACAGAGAAATGAATTACTGTACTGGTGGCTCGGCCTAGTTTGATTTATTTAGGAAAGACAAAAACTAAAAAGCTCCACTGTGATCCCTAATCAAATTCAGCGCAGGCCGACAAATTATACAAACGTCTTAAATGGCTCAAAGTCACTGTCGTTTATCAAAGGCTTTGTCCTCATGTCAGTTTGTTTTGTGTTTAAGCTTTAATTTAAGGTCTGTGTAACGTTTGGAAGCTCTCCATGCCTTCTTCGGGCCTGGCAAATGTAACGTAACTTGAATCCGCAAAGTATTATCAGAGAAAAGCAACCACAATTAGCTGTGATTATATGTTCGGAATGACAAAAAATAAAGCATGGGATTAAAGTCAGAACCAAAAAGGAAAGACGGAGGAAAGTTCAATATGAATAAAGATTGAGTTTGAAGGAGAGGGGGAAAACAAGAGGGTGAAAGAGTGAGACGTTGTGGATCTTGGCAGTGGAAAATGTCACAGGAGGTTTACCATGGGGAGCCCGAGAGGAGACAAACATTAGCTCGCAGGGTATTGCTTTACAATGAATTTCTGTTATCGTTGATGAGGACACTGTCTAGAACTATATGTATAGCATGTCAGACTGAGAGAATAGGGCTGATTTAAAGGGATAGTTCACCCAAAAATAAACATTTACTCACTATTTAGCCTACTCATCCTTGAGTCGTTCCAAACATTTATGAGTTTCTTTCTTCGCCTGAATAACCTGTAACCATTGACTTCCATAGTAGGAAATGTCAATGGTTAAAGGTTTTCAGCTTTCTTCAAAATATCTTCTTTTCTGTTTAACAGATGAAAGAAACTCATCCATGTTTAAAAGAAGTAATGGGTGAGTAAATGATGACAGATTAAAAATTTTGGAGTGAACTGTCTCTTTAAATCTCCTATCCTAAAAGTAAACAGCAGCACCACCTTCCAGCTCAATTCGACGACTAATCCAAAAGCATTTTGTCAATCGCAGTTACTTATAAATAGGTCAGCCGGAACTCTGAACGGTGATGGCTTGTGTGGGAGCTTCTGCCGCCGTCCTCTCTTTTTTGTGTTTACAGTCTCGCAGTGTGACCGTGAATTAACCTCACTTTCTTTTTCCCTTCAGAGGTAGAGCGTTTATTTGAAACAATCTGTCTTATCTCACCAAGCCGTATCGTTTTACAGGCTTTGCTGATCGAAGGGCAGGTTTATAATTAGATTATTACAGCCCTATTAGTAAACGCAGAGCTTTCTGTTTCTTGTATTCGACCTTAAACAGATGCGGTTCAGAGTTTAATGTTCAACAGTGCCTACAGAATCCTAACTTAATCTTTCTTCTTAAAGAGATAGTTCACCCAAAACGAAACATTCTGTTATCGTTAACTCATCTTTCATTGGTCACAATCCTGTTTGAAATTCTTTCTTCTTTTGAACTCAAAAAAAGACGTTTTGAAAAATGCTGAAAACATGTAACCACTGACCTACATATTAATTGTTTTTCCAACTATGTAAGTCAATGGTTACAGGTTTTAAACGTTTTGTAGAGTATCTTATTCTGTGTTCAACAGACAAGAGAAACTCATAAAGGTTTAGAACCACTAGAGGAAGAGTACACTAGAAAATGTTCATTTCAACTATTTTTTTAGCATTTCGACGTGATTAGCCTTCAACTATACTGGTGAAGGTTTGACTGTCTATTATTCAGTCATTTAATGAAAGCTAGAACATGACTGATATGCACTACATAACGACTTGTTACTGTTCAAATAACGTTTATTCGAAGATGTCAACTTTATGATTTTGATTCATAGAGTACTTTTGTTGTTGTTTTCTATGTAATGTTATCATAAACACCTGTTGTTATCTTTCTATTACCCTAAAACTTCATCGAGAAGAGGCAGTAAACAGGACCTTTCGTGTTTCTAACAATGCAATGTTGCAAAACAAGTGCATTACTTCCTTGTCTGATTGTTTTGATTGGGAAATCGTGTTTTTGTTGGGTTCATGTGTGGTTTTGCAAACTTTTAATCTGCCAGCTTGCACACATTAAAAATAAGTTTGTAATAGTTATTATTATTATTATTATTATTATTATTATTATTGCAATAGCAATTGATAATAATAATAATAATAATAATAATAATAACAATAATAAGTATTATATAATAATAATAATAATAATAATAATAATAATAATTATTATTATTATTATTATTATTATTATTATTATACATTATTTAAAATTGCAAAACCAAAACAAAATATTAAATATTTATAATAATAAGGTAACACTTTAGGTCACAATCCATGCGTATTGCCTGCCTATTATTAAGATATTAATTGTTCATTAGTAGTTATAAAGTACAACCTTATTCACCTAAACCCAACTACTACCTTACTAACTATTAATAAACAGCTAATTAGTAGTTTATTAAGCTGGAATTGTTGGATAATGGTTTATTAATACCGTGAATTGTGACCTGAACTAAAGTGTTATAATGATTATAAAAAATCATTTTAAAAGTTATTATTATTATTATTATTATTATTATTATTATTGCTAAATGCACATTTCAAACGTGATTCAGTTACTGTAAACAGTCTGATGTGAATCATTGTGCTTGTTATTTGTAAATGAAAACCATTTAAAGCATCAATCCTCACAGAAAGACAATCAAGTAATCACATTAAGTGACAAGAAATGACCCATTTTCCAGTTCCAATGCATACTTCGCTTCCCCTTACAGTGTTTAATTCATCCTGGTGCAATTTATCTAGTCATATTAACTGATTTATCACCAGTCTGCAACTTTGCAAAAGTTCTCCTCGTTTGCAGGCAGGACTGTATCCCACAGCATAGTGAGCTGCCTACACTGATATCATTTTAGGGGAATATTAGCGAGTAAACATTGCTGTCTAATCAGCGTACGCGCCTGTGGTGCTCAAAAATACTCACTCACAAACTTTTAAAGTTCACCCAAAGATATAATAAGAGTGCAAACATTGTCTCACCTGCGATAAAGACATGTTTAAGTAGACAAAGAGCCCCGTGGTGGACGCGATCTGCAGGACGACCACCACGATCACGACCATCGCGATCCATAACTTTGACGGCGAGTCTCGCCCGCGGCTGTTCGCCGGGACCATCATGTATGTGGTGGACTCGCTGCTGACCGACCTGTAGTAATCCTGGTTGTTCTGAGTGGCCATGGCATTCCTAAGACGTGGGTAGATACGCGGTTAGTGACAAACAAATTGAAATCAGCGACGGGACGCTGAATAAACTCCTTCTTGTTGGCTCAGCGCGCGGCCGTGGGAGGGTAGAGTCTGTCCCACACACACATGCAGCCACTAGTGCTGCTTGAAGACTGAAGTGTGTGTGTGTGTGTAGACGCTGAGGGGTTGAGTCTTAAGAGTTTCTCAAGGTAAGGCAACACGAGCTACAAAGTCTTCATGACTTCCTTAATCCTTTTCCTCATGCAAGATATCCCACTGATATCCTGTTATATTATATCCTGATAGGCTATATAGATGCGATATTGCAATATTATTTTAAAACATCATTAATATATATTTAATTCATTTTTTTGTCTTATAATGAATAGCTGAATCTTTCAGCTGAGAACACAATTAGTCAGTAAAGCCCAGATGTGAGATTTGGTCCTTTTAAAATGAGATATTCTTAACCCCTTTGACTCCTCCTTGTCTGCCTGTTGACTACAGTATTATTCAAAAGCCTCGTGACTTTTCTGCTTGTTCATGTTTTATTGAAAGAAAATTAAGTATAGTTGTACATTATTAAGATCTTTTCATCATACATATATTTGTAAAAATAGTTTAAAATTTTTAATGATTTATCTATAAAACTAGTTATACATTTTTATGAAGTTGTTAAATTGTATGATCTTTCAAAGAAATCCTCCGGCCCATAATTATAAAATCTTTACAAAAGTTTACTTGTACCGGTATATAAATATAAGTAATTAGATTTATACAAAATGTGTATAAAAATTATAAAAAATTAAATAAAATTTTATTATTATTTTATTTATTCATTAATTCTTTTTCTTTTCGGCTTACACCGAAATACCCTTCCAGCTGCAACCCATCACTGGGAAACATCCATACACACTCATTCACACACATAGACTATAGACAATTTAACTTACCCAATCCATCCGTACTGCATGTTTTTGGACTTGTGGGGGAAACCAGAACACCAGGAGGAAACCAAGGCAAACACGAGGAGAATATGCAAACTCCACACAGAAATGCCAGCTTACCCAGTCGGAGCTCGAACCAGCAACCTTCTTGCTGTGAGACGATTGTGCTTCCCACTGCACCACCGTGATGCCCTCATATTTTATTTTATTTTATATTTAAAAAATTCTATAGTAATTATTTTTTTATAATGTATAAAAGGTGGCCGTTATGGGGGCACAGTGGGCAGCACGATCGCCTCACAGCAAAATGGTTGCTAGTTCAAGCCTTAGATGGATCAGTTGGTATTTCACTGTGGAGTTTGCATGTTCTCCCGCTGTTCATGTGGGCTTCCTCCGGGTGCTCTGGTTTCCCCCACAAGTCCAAAGACATAGTGATTGCAGCTGGAAGGGCATCCACTGTGTAAAGCATATGCTGGATAAATTGGCGGTTCATTCAGCTGTGGTTAACCCAGATTAATAAAGGGACTAAGCCGAAAATATTTTTTTATGAATAAATATAACTTAAGAGGGTGAATTAAAATAAAGATTTTTGATTGTTTGTTGAGTGGACCTCAGCCCTCTGGTTGAAAAGTGCAGGTTTAAACCAGTTAGTTAGTCTCAGTAATGTATGATTCTTTAAGTTAGACTTGCTGAAAAGTGTCCAAAACCTCTCCAAAACTATTTGTGACCATGTTTGAAGAGCAGTTAGTACACCAATCCACATAAAGATGATTTAAGATGTTATTTTGAACATATAGTCTCTAAAGACACAACTGCATGGGGACAGATTCACAAAACATAAAAAAGGGAATATTTTGCATTCCTAAAAACCTTCTTAAGAATGTCCTCATCTTAAGATTGTTCTAAAGACAAAGCTTAAAAAGAATTCCAAATCTTGAAAAGAACATTCTTAAAAATCATCTAAAAACAGGATGACTGTTGACTAGTTGTGTAGATCCCCAAATGTTTTATTCACATAGTAAACTTATTTAAACTAGCATACATGGCTTATTATTTGTGTTCCAGATAGAAACACTATGGTGGTCAACAGCATTTGCCTTGTGACGCCTCCTTTTTCCTTGTCATCCAACCATGTCTAATTATTCAGGTAGTTCACTTTACCTGCAAGTAAATTCTCTTTATTTTGAGTACACACACACACACACACACACACACACACACACACACACACACACACACACACACACACACATACTGTATATATATAAGATAATTGACAAAGTAATTGACAGCAGTTTTGTTCTATGGTAAGGGTTATAGGGTCTGTGAATTGTTACATTAAAAAATTATATATATATATATATATATATATATATATATATATATATATATATATATATATATATGCTGTCTGCTGTCAATTACTTTGTCAATTACCTTAAACTGACATATCAACCATTTGATAAAGGCTGATATTTTAAAAATTATGGGATGTCCCTACAGAAAAAAAAAAAAGGCTTAAACCAGCCTAGGCTGGTTGGCTGGTTTTAGCTGGTTGACCACCCTGGTTTTAGAGGGGTTTTGGCCATTTCCAGGCTGGTGTCCAGCCATTTCCAACCTGGTCTTAACTGGTCAGGCTGGGAGATGACCTGCTAAAACTAGCTTGACCAGCCTAGCCAGGCTGGGAGCCTAGCCAAAACCAGCTAGCTTAAACCAGGCTGGTCAAGTTGGTTTCAGCTGGATTTAGCTGGTCATTTTCCAGCCCGACCAGCTAAGACCAGGCTGGAAATGGCCAAAAGACCTCTGAAAACATTTTGGTCAACCAGCTAAAACCAGCCAACCAGCCTAGGCTGATTTAAGCAGTTTTTTCAGCAGGGGTGTTGAAAAAAATGCATTTAAGTGTTAATAGTGTTAACTAGTGACATTAGCCAAAAATAAAAAAAAAATTAAAGTTAAAGGGAAAATTCTTGCAAACTTTTCATAAGAAACTTCTTAGGAAGATATTCTTGAGAAATCCATTGGAAATCTTCTCAAGTAATAATATTCCTTTTGTTTAATCTTCCCCCCTCACTTTTGAAAGGTTTTTTTTTCTCAAGAGCATCACGTCATCCTTGACATGAAAATCACAGGCTTTGTTATTATGTGTAATCTTATTGTATGGTTCTTGTCTAAGAGTTAAACATGCAGAGACATGTAGGCTATTAAATATTCAGGAAGGGAAAAAAACAGACACATACACACACCTCAAACTGATCAGTTTGTGTATTTCGAGCAGCTGTTTGTGTGACTGAAAGTCAAGATATCAAGGTTTGATGACCTTTACCCCACTGTGCCATATTGTGCAAATGTAAAATATATAACGTCAACAAAATAAGACTGATCAGACTAAAACAACGACATTCGAAAGACTTTTAACTGTGTCTAATAAATTACGTTGATCACTTCTACTCTTCAGCTGACATAAACATTCCTGTCGTCTTGAGATAAACGGTCCACAGTAAAACTGAAGGGACTCGAAGCTTCACTCCTCTCCTCACTCTGTAAATATATCTGTACCCTTTCCGTCTGTTTTAGCCATAAACAGTAGGAGACGAGCATCGTGTGTGAGCCGCGATGTATGTTTGTCTGTACGAGGGTCTGCTGGAGATGGAACACAGATGTCTGGTGGGTTTCTCCTGGTCCAGGCCTGTGGTTAGATGGTCAGAAATGGAGCAGAGCGATGTTCGCACCGCAGCTACGGATCATCTCTGGAAGTGCAACGGAAGGGGTGAGAAATGAATGGGCATGCAAGACAGTTCCTCAGGGCTTGATCGCTCATGCCTGCTACTGATTGCCTGTCAGATGATTTCTAACGAGGGTGTTTAGTGCTGTCAACAGGGAGAAGAGCTATGCAAGATTACGTGCAGACAGTTGTCTTGCTTTACAAGCTTTTTCCGAATGAAGAGTTCATCTAAAACTGAAAATTCTGTCATTTTTTTAACTCAGACCTTACTATTTCAAACCCACTTAAATTTCTTTCTTTTGTTGAACGCAGTAGAAGATGTTTTGAAAAATGCTAGAAAACTGTTAAACTATTGACCTTAGTTTTTGTTTTTCCGACTAGCAATGTCAATGGTTACCGGTTTTCAGCTTTCTTCAAACTATCTTCTTTTTTATCGAACAGAATAAAGAAACCCATAAATCTTTGTAACCACTTTAGGTAAATAAAGAGTATTTAATTTTTATTTTGGGGTGAACTATCCCTTTAAATCTGAACAAACAGTTTATTAGTGTGCAGTACACTGCCAGACAAAAGTCTTGTCACTTATCCAAGTTTTAGGAACAACAACAAATGATAACTTGACTTCTAGTTGATCATTTTGGTATCAGAAGTGGCTTATGTGAGAGGCAAAGGCTTCTAGATTAGGCTTATTTCACCAAAATAAAATATGATCATGCCTTGATTTTTAATTATTTAATTAGGAGGTCAGTAAGGTTTGCTTAGAAAAGTCTTGTCATCTAACAGAAATAATGTACAGTATAGAATATAAAGTCATGGTGCAGTGGAAAAAGAATTAATATTGTGTATGACTTAGGGTTGCATGGTTTGCCGGTACTATGGTAGTATCAATATACTATGGCTCCAAAATACTGGCAATGCCACTGTAGTTTATAAACGGTAGTATCGTCAATAATGGTTTATTTACAATAGAAAATGTTGCATGTGGAAAAGTCACAAAATGCTCACACATTTGTGCAACAGTAAACCATTTCATTTGAATAGTCTGCGGAGCCTTTTAGGGTTGCAAAACTTTGTAGAATTGGCACCTTCTATGGTAGCCTATTGCACGTTTTCTAGCACTTCAGTTCGAACGCACATTTGAATCAGTTTATTTCTCTTTCTGTTAATATAAGTAGTTACAACAACCACGGCAATCTTTTAAAAAGAGTGACTTACAAAGTGATATTTTGAATTACTTTGGATTCTTACCTGATAAGACTAAATAAAAAAATAGATGAAAAACCCAAAATAGCAACAGGAAACATCAAAATTTTTGATTCATATAGCCTAGTTTTGTTGGAAAAATGCTTTTTTGTAAATAAATTTTGC